GAACTGCAATATAGACAACCACGTTGTAAAGTCAAAATTTTAAAGGAATTGATTCTAAAAGACGGTCGCTTTATGATTTGAAAATTCCACTTGACTTGGTTGTATGCTATCATTAAAGTCTTAGAGATGAAAGTATAACAAGAAAGGAAAGCTAACTTCGAACGGAACTGGATATATATCGCAAACATCGTATATAGTTGGCCGATCCTTATAAGAATATCATAAAAAACAAGAAAGGAAAGCTCGGGCGCAGCTGAAGTTGATATACCCTTGCAGTTAAAACCGGATAAAACCGGATGTATATCGCAAAAATCGGATGTAGGCAGCCGATCATTATGAGGATATCATAATATAACCAATTTATTACAATACAAAATCTAAAAATAGATCCCAAGCTTCTATCTTCAAAATACCAAAATTCCGTACGTTCCGGTATATGGCAGCTATAAGATATAGTCGGCCAATCGGTATGACATTTTGGTAGGTCGGATCAACTGACTAAAAATAGAATTTGTACGAAGTTCCAACTTTACATCTTTAAAAACACGAAAGTTGGGTCATTACCGATCGTTCAGCTATTTTGCAGCTATAGGATTTAGTCGCCTGATCCTTATAAAATTTGGTGGATCGTATTATTTTGTCAAAAACAGCACTCATGCAAAATCCCAACTCTTGAACTCTAAAAACAACTACATATTTGCAACTACTACAGCGTGGCACACTATTGGACAAATTTATAATACCCTCCACAAGTGTATAAAAAGTATTTTTATAAATTAACCGAAAGCAAAGATTATACAGTACATAGATGGGACATCTCATACAAAGAAAAATTTTCTATGGCGGGTTCCAGCAGTGGAACCCGCTGGAACGAGCGGGTTCCATTGCGCGACAAGTTAAGTTTGAGAAATTTTTCGCGAGACAACGAATGAGGAATAGCCGAGTGGTAGAGTGCTTGGCTGGTGTGCAAAGTAAAATGAGTTCAAACCAGGCTCGGGACATCCATTTTTTTTTAATTTTAAATCTATTTATATTATTGTTTTATTATTTTAATGTGTTTTCCTAAATTTATAATCCAATAAAAAAAAATACAAAATTGTAAAATCACCTTAACATCGTCTCAGTTCGTAGTGGAACCCGCTGTAAAAATGTCTATAAGTGCGGGTTCTACGGCACTTTGGCAGGCCGCGTCGTGGAACCCGCTCTCAAATGTTTTCATTTTTTCCGTCGTGGAACCCGCTGTAATAATGAAAACATTTGAGAGCGGGTTCCACGACAAACGGCTGGCAGATGAGAAAGGGAGAGAGAGAATTCTATTTTTAGATCGTAACATCTTTGGAACGATGAAAGTTTGAAACGTTGTAATCGAACCAATGTAAGAGTAAAGAGATCAGAAATATCTTTTACTATCCTTACTCGTCAGCTCTGTTTTTGGTATGGATTCTAGCGCCTCCTCTAATACCAATTTTAAGTATCATAAAATCAACTTCGAGGGTAGCCTAGATGGATAGTGCGCGATCCTTTTTCATGGGGTCCTGGGTTCGACTTCATTAGCGGGCGGTTGTTTCGATTTTGATAAAGTTTTAGTTTTATGATTCTTTTTATATTTACTTTTATTTTTATATTTTTTTTTTTACTTTTAATTTTTACGTTATTATTATTATTTTTAATTGCATTCTAAAACAATTAAAGTAAAAATAAGTGACGGACGTGTCTGATGACAAAATGCCGGAAGGACTCCCTTGAAATTTTATTAGCCGGACATAATGAAGAATTAAACAATTTTACAATTGTAAAATTAAAGAAAAATATTACAATTAAAGAAAAAAAAATAATAATAATTATAAAAGAAAGAAAAAGTTCAAAGTCCTTACGAGGATTTGAACACAGAAAAATTACACATAGAGTAGCTACTCTTTGCATTACGCTACCATCCTGCCTCGATCTGCGGCGATCAAAAATACTATTTGTTCTACAAACTACCACATCGGCGCATCGGAAACAGAAACGAGAAATTGAAATTGAAATTTGGAAGCCAAAACATTTTTACTCCGTCGTGCGAGCAGTCACACATACACACATAGGTTCACATTTTTGTTGACGGATACATGGAAAGAGTTCTAAAAATAGAATCGTGTGCATGTGCGTTCCCCCTCACCAACAAGCTCGACGCAAAAAGTTGACCGTTTTGGGCCCTGATGTCCCATCTATGTACTTTATAATCTTTGCCGAAAGTAAGGTAAGTCCTTAACTTAGACAGAGGCTTGTGGAGCAATCTTTTGGCGGTCCAGCATTTATTATTTAGATACTTCTCGTGAGATCGATGTCGAAAATCACTTTTGATTTGATTACTACAAATTTGGTTTCCCTTATTCAAAAGTCATATTTTTTGGTGATTAACTTAATATTTGACTTTATTTCACCCAATTTTTAGCGAGCTTCTTGGCTTAGAGGAAATTTTTTCAGGGCCCAGACAGGCTGTATAAAACCTCCAATGTTCTATTAGGTTCATTTATCCCCGGACTTACTGTAAGGTTTGTGGGATGTGGGCAGGGCGAACTAGATGCTCTGCGATGGGAGCCCTGAACCGGCTGAAGAAGAGAATTGCAGTCGCAGGATTGAGAAAGGTGAATCATAGCGATGCTCCAAACGAAGACATTCAAGGAGCAGTGCCCCAGAAGCGGGGGGTTAATACTTGCCAGATGTAGTTGCATGTGGAAGAGGAGCAGTAGAAGGAGGGAGTGCCTGTCTATCCCATGTATGTGTGCGCGGTTGGAAAAGCTGCAAATGCGCTTTCAGTTGATTAAATTAAATCGCTAAAGCTGCTGCAGGCTATGAAAAATGCATCCGAGAAAACCTGCGGAGAAACGACGGCCCTTCCACATGCTCGTCGCTATCATCCCATTTGGGACGGAGTGACTGGGGCCACTGTACTCGGCGCGATGGCGACAAAAGAAGACAGGACGAATACCACAAAGTATTTACTTATTTCTCTTAGCTTCTCATTCCCGGATAAGACATTAGGGGCGGGGTAGCTCAGGCAGATCCACCTGTATCCCAATTGTCCCTCACACCCAGACACATTATTGCTACTCGCTGAACTTCCGCTCCTGCTGATGCTATGGCTTTATTTTAAGAATATTTCCTGCTCCCGAAATGAGAATCCGCAACTGCTAGGATCCGTTTGTCAGGCAAACGGAAAAAAATACGACAAAGTTCCTGGTTCTAGGATTAGACGTTTTTGCCATTGGAGGTAATTCACAGAAGATTTGTCTAGAATTTCAATTAGATTGGTGCTTTAATATAAATCTTTGTATTTGGCCACAAACTTTAGAATAAATAACAGGAAACTTTTGAAAGAGTCAACATTTTATCACAAATTAATTTAATGTACTCACATAACAACAAGAATATGACGGCTACTCATCTCTTCTATCCGTACATTAAATAAATTTGAAAGGTAATGAAATAAGTTTATACCTTGGACTCTAAGCAAAAAAATATTTGCATACTTTTGGTTCTAGGGGAAAAAATTGCTTGAGTGTCAATTCTCTAGGAAGGGAGATCAAAATTTCTATAACTCCTCTATTTATCGGCCGATTTGGCTAAATTTTGTTTTCCAGATGTAAATTAACTGTAGAAAAAGTTCAAAAAGACAACAGAAGTTTGTTAAAAATATCTTCCTGTACTGACGGTGCAGAAATATTCAATTTAAACCTAAGATCCACGCGCTCATACGGACAGACGGACATGGCTATATCGACTCGGTTGTTGATGCTGATCAAGAATATACATATATACCTTATGGTGACGGAGATGATGCCTTCTCTATGTTACATACCCACATTTACACAAAATCCAATATACGCTTGTACTCTACAAGTACAGGGTATAAAAATTTACAAATTATTACCAATAGAAACTGAAAAAATCCTCACTATACCCCTAGCTTTGTTTATTTTTTGTGATTGACCGACTATAAATAGTAAAGATCCATATATAAGAAGTTTTAAGTGCGCAGAATAACTTACGTTTTTAAAGAGAATTGAGAGATAAAGGTTCTTCAATAGGGAGATAAAAAATTAAAGATAGATGATGTCAGATTAAAAGAAGAGGCAAGCGAGACGATGCGATACAGTCCATTGTAGTTCAAACTACACTCAAAATAAAATTTACCCTTAAATTTAGAAATTCGCCATAAAACTTAATTGTTTCTAAATACAAGAAAAAATTTCTAGTTTCTAGAAAAAATTTTCTGAAAACAAGAAAAATTTCTTAAATCAAAGAAGTTTTTCTCAAATATAGAAATAGTCGCCATAAACTGAAATCGCCCTAAAATCAAGAAAACTTTTCTATAATTAAGGCAAATTATGACTTATTTTCAGGAAATATTTTCTTAATAATAGAAAGGCTCACCATAAAATTTACTAACCCTAAAAATAGAAAACTGTTTCTACAATATAGAAATCCTTTTCTTAAAAAGATACTAACCCTAAAAAATAGAAAACTGTTTCTACAATATAGAAATTCCTTTCTAAAAAAGATACTAACCCTACAAAATAGAAAACTGTTTCTATAATATAGAAATTCCTTTCTAAAAATGCACAGTGTTACCCTTTAATTTAGGTAACCCTAGAAAATATAAATATTTTTTTTAATATATAATTTTTTTTATATTTTATCTCTGTCCGTGGTCGGCACCCAATACATTGATATGATTTTAACGCATTAGTATTAGTATAGCAGAAAGTAGGCTCTGAGCATGACGCGTCATGACGTTTCACACACTTATACTGTGTGTGTGGCAGAGCACGGGCAGATAAATGCATACTGATCTATATTATATTTTATGTATAAAGTTTTAACATGTTAAATACAAAAAATCATGTTAAGAAATAATGTAACGATATTTAAACTATCTCTAAGATGTTGACATTACAAGTTTATTAAAAAGTTTATTTAAAAAGTGCTAATTGATTCCTTGCTGAAAAAGATAAACTGAGAAGCCTTTTCTTTTTTTCGCTGGTAAGTTACTAAAAACGTTACTAATTTCATAAGAAATTTAATTTAATTACTAATTAAATTAATCTAGAGCTAATTGTGGAAAGACATGATAGATCTTAACATCGGAAAAAAGCCAGAAGGTCTGCTGCATATGGCAAAATTTATCATTTGAAGGCTAAGGAGAAAAAGTTATCAACTGGTAAATTACGCCCCACTTCAAAGGTTAAAAATAATTTCCCAAATACATTTTCAGGTAATATGGCTGATGTTCAATAGTGAAGAGGTGAAGCTTAGCCTTGCAAACGCAAAATTTGATCTTACTTTTGAGTGGCGCAAAAGTTTCTTTTTCTAGGACGATACAAGTGTAGCTACACTTAGCTTAGGAGGAATTGCCCATTCTTAAGCAGAATTGTGAAGACAAATTGGTAATATTTTTTATACATTAATTTTGTTTTATTTAATGCATTTATTGAATTAATTCTTAGATTGTGGCAATTTTTTCTCTCATTTCGTTAAAAGGAAGTCCAGAGTTTTATCTTACTAAAACATTCCCTCAACAAAGCGAAGGTAATAATTACACTACCTTAAAAGATGTTTTAAAACATTCACGATTAAATAGTATATTAATATATTTATATCGCAATATTAATTGACGTTATTTTCCACAGATAAAAAGGACGCAAATGATTCACGCTATTCTAGTCCCCACCAAAAGGGGAAAACATGGTGATACTGGAAATTTATTAGTCAAGTATACAATTCAAGATTCGAGGGTCAAATTTATTATATACCATAAATAAAGTGTTATGTGAAAGTAAGAACTGAAGAGAGCTATCAAAGAAAACAAATGTAAATGTAAAAATAATGTAAAAATATGTAAATGTATGATGTAATATGTAATGTAAAATGTAGAAATAAAATTTCTAGAATTTAGAAAAGGTCACCTTTAATTTAAGAAATATTTGTATATATTGTAGAAAGGTATCTTAATTTTAGGGCGCCTTGCCCTGGGGCTTAGAAAAAATCGCCATGAAATCAAGACATTTTTTCCTTAGTTTTAGAAAAGTTTTTTCTAAAACCTAGAAAAACAAACCCTTAATTTAAGAAATTTTTTTCTATTTTTTAGAAATTTTTTTCTTATTTTTAGGGAAATTGGCCTTAGATTTTAGAAAGGAAACGCCATTAATTTTAGAAAAATTTACCCTAAATTTAAGAATTTTTTTCTATTTTTTAGAAATTTTTTTCTTATTTTTAGGGCAATTTTCCTTATATTTTAGAAAGGAAATGCCATTAATTTTAGAAAAATTTACCCTAAATTTTATGGTGCGGTGCCGTTGAAGACAAAAATAGGGCGAATTTCTAAATCTTAGGGTTAATTTTTTTTTGAGTGTATACATATATCTACAACTACGATGGCTAATACATAAAGGACTGGGAGAGTTAGAAAGATGGAAACTCTGCTAAGATGAACTAAGAGCAACTAAAAAGAAATTCTTTTGTACAGATTTAATGCGGTCTTAATGGTATAAGATCATGTTTATGGAGTTCCCACTATGGGTTTATATTAGGCATTGCTCTCTCTCTCCCTCTATGAAGCATTGCTCACCTCACCCCTGATACGAAATAGTTGGATTAATGATCCTCTTTACACCACATTTCCGGTATAATTGCGTATCCAGCACAGATTCAGAGGCTAGTTAAGATATGGTATGCCTTCTAAGATGCCTCTGCGACATATGACCCTTGCATTATTTGCAAAAAATTGTCCCAACCCTTAAGTGAATAAGCTAAGTTCTAAAAGCCTTATCAAAAATAAAACATCTCAACGTGAAACGGTGTCGATACTAAAAGGTAACGCCGTAGTACGATAAAATAGAATCTATAGGCTACTTTGCCACCGTCACCTACAAAAGTTTCCTGAATGGCCCACTGTGCGGCACTCTCCCTTCTCATAATGAATAATCATAAAAATTGCATAAATTATGTGCCAGCACCGTCTTACTTAACGCCTGCCTGCGGCGGCACCAGAGGACAAAAATGGCGCAGGACAGGACTACGGCTAGGAGGAGCAGGAAAGAGTGGAGGGAAGTGTGGCCAGGAGACAGGCGGCACAAATGAAATGCAGAAATGTAAATCTAAAATAATTTACGCGTCTTTGTTGACTGCAGTTGCCGTGGCCATAAAAACCTGCCACCCTGCTCGATGTCTCGCCCAGCAAAGCAAAGCCGGCACTCACCTTCCCCTTCCGGCAGAGTCCTGTTGGTCCTGCTGCTCTTTGTTGTTTCCATTTTGTAGCCATGAAACTGTTGCTACACAAAATGGCGCCACCGTTGGTAGCTTGGCTCTTCGCTGGTGGCTGTTGGCTGTTGGCTCTAACTCTGCTGGACGGCCTGGGTGGTGAGGGGACGGCTAGGCGCTCTGGCCTGCATTTGCATTTATGGCATGGAATAATCCATTATCAGGCATTTTGCAGGTTGCCTTGGCAAGTAATGCAGCAGCGTGCTAAACCGGCAAGGAAGGCGAAACGGCAAGGATTGGATCAGGTCCAGGCTTGAGGTGGAGTCGTTGAGCCTTTAAAAGTGGCTCGAGGCTGCAGATTAATTCGCCCTCAGCTCGATTCTGAGCGGGGATTAAGATGTTTAAAGTGTGCAGGAAGAAAGGATAGAATGGAACGTCGAATAAATAATCGAATAAGGCAAGCCAACTTTCATAACTTGGAAGCCATATATACTAAGATGGATGTGTAGCCATCCTTATATACTGGAAAGGAACTCCTGCTCCTTGGCTTTGACTTGGAGTATCACTATCCCTTGCATCTCCAGCATTACTAATCAGCCTTACATATTTGTGCAAAACATATTGTTAGTCCGAAACCAAAATTAGATTAAAATGGCTAAAGCTGACTTTACTTAATAAGAAAAAAATTTCAACAGAAATAAAGTTGAACTTTTGAACTGAGTCCATTAATCAAATAATCGCTTAATTAATAACTTTAATTTACATCAGAAAGCGACAAGTAAGAAAAAACTTCCAACTCGCGCTAAAAAAGGGAGTGCAGCGTGGAGCACCGGTGGGACATGCGGTCTAACGAATGGTGCGTCAATTAAAACTTTAATTAATTTGCAATTCAAACAATTCCGACACAGAAAGCGAAAACGAGGTTGCTTGGGTAAAAAGAGGCGAATACACAGCAGAATGCAGTCAGGCAAACCAAACAAATATTAGCTTACTTATTATTGGTTTACTTGTGACAACATTTCATTTCTAATAGTCAATACTAGAAAATACTTGGGCAAGACGATTCAACGACTTATCTCAAATATGTCTTGGGAATGGAGGTGGCAGTATTGCTTACTTTGGCGTATTTTTTAAATCACTTATAATCTTTTACTTTCAAATAAAGTTCCAATGCAAAATCTTTTATAAAAGTTGAAAAATACCTTTCTACGTATATTGGATACCCAAGCGAACACCGGGGGAGTGAAGCAAATCCTATGAGACGTCCTCGTAATTATTTTAATTGTTTAATGTCATGCGGTCACGCGTACAGTGGGGAGGTGTGGTGAGTGCAAGGACAATGGCAGGGCGAAAAATCTGTCATTGGACAGTGAGGGGCACTTCGCCGTGAGTTTGGTTGATTGCGTTAAATGATTAATGAATCAGGGGGTGGTCCACAATATTGCACCTAAAAGCCCCAACTCAAAGGTACGAAGACTAGTCCTAGACAGAAGCATTGCGACTTCCCCATGTGCTGAAGGAGATGCCCGCTGAATTATTTTCCAGCCTAAAAATTTCTGACCACAAACATATTGAGTTGTCATTAATTAGGCAGAATTCAGACAGAGGCAATAACTGTGAATATGGTTTTGGAACCTATGTGTTCCTTTTTTTACAAAATTTTCTTACAGCGAACAAAATTTATTTTTGCATAGAGCTTCATGCTTTTAGAATCAAATTAATTACCCAGGGTTCGGTGGATAAAAACTACAGCATTTTTAAATCCAAGGGAACCTTCCCACAAATATACGAATCCTAAATGGATGGGTGGGCCAGGAAGGTACATGCGTCGGCATGTCCTTGACTAGCTTTTGGTGGCCTCGGCGTCCTTCTTCCACTCCGCTGTCAATCATGCAAAAACTGCAACCGCCACATAACCGTGGGTTTATAATAGTTAGCCAGCGGGACGCAGTGGGGGACTGACGGGCGTAGGGGCATAGGGGAGTGGCTGTTGCCTAGTTTCGGCAAAAGCTTTTCAAACTTTTTAATTATGCAGCAAACAGAAAACTTTGCGGTAATTTCGTTGCAACAGTTGGCCAGGACTACAGGACGCCAGCCTTCGACGTCAGGGAGCGTCAACGTCAGCAGCAGCATCAGCGGCAGGCGCAGGGACTAATTGACTTAGACCAGGGCGGGGTGGGCGGAGGGCTGTGGTTGCGGGCCTGGGATAGGAAGTAGGGGTGGTACCTTCGTGCCTTTCGGTAGTAATAATTCGCCGACAATTTTAAAGTGCATCAATCACAATTACTGACCGGCCTGTCTTCATACAAGTCTCCAAGCTAAACTTGGGGCATTAGAAGGAAAGTGGAATTGTGGGCAATCGTGTCAAGCTTTGAAGTGTTTTGTAACTGCCAATTGAAAATGCCAACTTGTGCAGATGAATTTCGAATCAATACCGTTTGCTACGTTATCCGCTTTATGGGATTGCAGATGATTATCTAACATCCCAACAGTTCTTCTTTCGGGACAGACACTTTCATAGTGCTTTAAGACCCGTAAAGGAATTTAGTCTTTTCCGGCCATAGCTCTTTTCCTAGTCAGAAGAAAAGGTCTCGAAAGCAACACACTCACTCAAAGAAATACTAGGATGGCATCACACACATGCAGCATGAATCTAAGCCGATTTAATAAAAGGCATAAAGAATATCTATTTTGCCAAATGAAAAATATTAAATCGGCACAAAGTCCACATCAGCAGGAAAAAGGACAAGGAAAGGGACTCACACACAAACCCGCAAGCACACCATCAAGTTGATTGGAAAAGTTTCCGACTCTGGCCGGCAGAGGATAAAGAAGCCATAAATGACGTGGCCCAAAATGAGCGTAACCAGATTCCTCAGGAAACAGGAGGATATATCGGGGGGCTCCCATAAAATGACGAGGAAAGCCAAATCAAAGGCTAACTGGCCGCCCAAGCATGATTAAAAACCTGAACTCCAGGACCCTTTCGGAAGATAAAGGGTCTCCAGGGAAGCCCCTTTCGAGATGAGTGAATGAGCATTTGAACGTTCCAGATTATCTACTTGCATGGAAGTGATGACCAAATATTATTTAAGATTAAACTGGTTCCTCACCTACCAATTAATTTTTTTTAATTATCCTTATACATAATTCAGGATTTTGCTAAATAAAAATATTTTATTTGTGTATTGTAGATTTTATTATACCGATGGTTCCCCAAAAATATCGCAGTGATTTACAAAAAAAATCCAGATAATCAAATGAAGAAATTATATCTTAAACTTAAATGTTTTAAAATCCAAGGTTCATTCTCAAGTTTATGTAGATTTGGTTGTTTGAAAGTAAGGAACGATTTTGCATATGCGACTTACGAATTTTGAGGTACAAGAATTTAACTTTAGTTCTTGATTCGTCCCACGGATATACCATTTTGGCACATACCTTTCCACAAATTTGGCAACAAAATTGCAGCACCATGAAACATGTAAAAAGCATTTAAACTTTTCCTGCAAATGTAAGAGAACACCTGTGTGGAGAAACTCACGCTTCCGTTGTCGGTTTTTTTTATTTCGGCAGGAGAGGGAATTAAAAAGAATGAAACGAGCTTCCGACTGATCCCTCACTTTATACACGTATTCGTGAAGACTTTCCCAGCCCAGTTTACAATTCAAAAAAGATCTAACCAAGCCATTAAAAAAACCAATCCATATAAATATTCTGAAGAGATTATAAAATAATCTCTGCCAAAAGTAGTTAAAATTTTAATATGAACCAGTCCCGAAGCGACAAAATACGTTTTTCTGTAAATAAGGTCCTTTGTACTATTACATTTTTTTTAATGTGGGATATACTTAGTTTAAATACTATTATTATTACTAACTTAACCTGAAAAAAAATATATAATAACATGAAGTATCCAGCCAAGAGTTTGTTCTCCTATGGAGCTTATTTACTAGTATTCGGCAATGCCCAAGGCAACTATCCTCTTGAAAGCATATTGTGGTTTCCGTATAGTCTAGAAACCATACTAAAAAGGTGCTTAGTAGACAAAAAAATAACGTGGACATCAGAAGATCCCTTGGCTTAAAGGACTTATAAATGGGCAAAAGTGCCATTTTGGACTAAAAATATAATATTTTACCCAGTAATTGGGTGTTTTCTTCTTTCGCAGATTCTTGTAGAGAGGAAATATTTTAAAATTAGCCAGTACTTTTAAACGATTTTAGATGAGTTAATGCGGTAAAATGTATTCTTAAAGAATATAATGAAGGAGCTTTTTGAGATGGAATGGGGTAGTATTTTTTTAAATGTCTTGTAGAATGTTGCAAAACCAACTTAGAAAATATCCAAGCCATCAAATCGGTCCTTAACCGATTGAAAGTATGTTTACAGGTCCAGATCCAGACGGAGTGGAATCCCTTTTGCCATTGGGAACAAAGGAAGGAATCCCAAATTAATTAATGAAATTTGTTTTTTAAGTAAAACCAACATGGTCAGCAAACAAGAATCGGCAAACACACCCAAGCCCGGCAGGCCTGCAGGTTAAAAAAATATTCGGATTCATAAGGAATCTGGAGAAAGAAGTTGCGTGTGCCATGTGCACGTGTGTGGTCAGTCTAACCACTTCCTTTCTTGGCGAACATCACGAACTGGTCGAAGGCAACCCAAACAGCAAATACTCCAGCAAACGAAATTAAATATTTGTAAATGGAATGAAACATTTTGTTGAGTTGTTGAATAGCAGAAGGGGCCAAAGAGAAGCTGAAAAGAATTGAACACTTTGGACAATAAATTAAGTTCTTGCTGCGAAAACATTTCCAACAGAATATAGTATTCGGATAAATAAATGGAAAAAGTTATTGTTATTGTAAACTTGGCAGGATGTTTGTAAAAGACTAAGCTTGTAAATTCTAATATTGTCTTTCTTTATCAGAAAGGCGCCCAGAACCCCAGCAGTTAGCCCAAAATGCCCCTTCATTAGTCGCTAATTGTCCAATTGTAACCCAGTCGTGGGGCAGGGGCTCCTTATTTGCACATCGGGGAGCTTCGCCCCGAGCCCAAAGCCAACACCTTTTTGATGTCAGTTTCTGGGCAAAACGCGGCTATTCGCCGCTGAATCCAACTAATTAGAAGGAAATTTAATTAATATTTGATGTATTATTTGACCTTTTGTCTGATTACCATGACGCCTAAAATAAAACCCCAATCACCAAAAGACAAGTCCTCAGACTCCAGGGCTCTCGACATTTGCCTGACAACAGACAGACAGATAACTTTTTAGGATTTTTCCAAAAGGAGGCTCCATTTAGCTGAGAGGAGCCCCTTTAATAAACTTGTCGCCATGCCGGTACCACCACAAAAGAAACAGGCTTCCTGTCGGGTTTGGCATGGAACTTACACAAAATATATACACGAATAATGTGATGGTAAGGTGAGACGAGGCACAAAAGTTTATTTTTATGTTTATTGGCAAAACTTTTTCATTTTTTACAACTTTTAACAAAGTTTTTTCCGTAACTCTCAGACCCATAGTCCTCACACTCGCTTCTTACAGTTGTTGTCTAGGCCCGCTGGTCATTTTAAAGTTTAAATTATACCACGGGTAGAGGGTTCGGGCTGAGTGCCTAGAATCCAACAATTGTCAGCACATTAGGGCCACCAACAGGACACTGCCCACTGTCAGGGGCAGGGGAAGAGAGGAGGACGACGATACCTTACCGGGAATTAAACTTTTATCGCATCAATTCCTGTTGCCTTGGAAAAGTTTTATTGTTGGATATTAATTCATTTATTTAAATTGGTCCAAGAGTCCGAGATAATGCAAATAAACGCGGTAATATTCACTCGAATGGGACCCACTTACCTGTAATGAAAAGAATGTAGGAAAACCAATGAAATTATTTGGAAAACTTTTTCCATATATAACTTATCATCAATGGAACAAGAACCCCTACTTCAAAACGTGCCGAATAACAATTTCAGTGACAGTTTTACTGAAACGTTGAGATTATTTGTCAACATCTCTAATTTTTTAACTAGTCCGTCGAACTAGAACTATTCCGATATATTTTTGATTTTATAGGATGCATTTCTTTGCATTCATCAACCTTATTTTATACAACGGCCTGGCTTATCGGACATCAAGCGCGATATTGGGGGTAAACAGTGAGAACATTTATGTGAGGAGAGTTTTTAACTCCACTCAGTTTTATTAGAGATAGTTATGTGTATTAAATGTTACAGGTTCTGATATCTTATATTTTAAAATTAGGATAATTTCTCCTGCTGCTTTCCGTCGTTTTTTCTTTGCTGTTGCTGCTTCCTCGGTGCTGCCCTCTCGACGCTTTTACTTCTAAGTTGCCATACTGCTGATCTTCATACTGCTGCCATACTGCTGATTTTTAACACTGATGCCATACTGCTGATTTTATACTGCTGCTGTTACATCTTCCACTCTCTTACATTTATTACCGTCACCTAATCCAGTCCATCTATCCAGCTCCCAATAACGAGTTCAGTCTTTGGCTCCTCATTTGCAATAATTTTGTCTTTGAGCGTTTGGTACTTTCCTTCGGATACCTCTTGTGGGTCCTGTGGGCCAGCGATTTGAAGACGGTCCATAACGACACTCTGGCCTTCTTCAGTGTGTTCAGGAACGCAGTGCACTTGGTGGCGACCGGCACCATCTTAAATTGCATCTGAGCTGCCTGTGGGAGGAGTGCCTGCCGCAGAGGCAGTTGACGGCCAAGGTTCTTAAGAAATCTAAAAAGGCGGAGGTCATCAGAGTTATTTGCGATGAAGCCGTTCTTTGAACAGGAAGAAAAGTCTCGGATGGGAACGGCCCGTTTTAACTGGGTCGCCATTAGTCAAGGACTTAACCTTCCCGCAGCTTCAAATACTGGCTCGTTGGCTCAACTAATAAATATGCCAGAAAACCCCAGACACACACACTAAGCACGTAAACATGCGTCCATTGCTCCCACCCACACCTCCACAAACCCGCTCCCCAGGACATGTACAAATGAATCGCAGCTGAGGGCCACCCAAGCAACGGGGAAATAAAACCATTAAATATTTGCGGTTAAACGCACCAAAACAAACCGCAAAAGTAAATCATATCCAGAGCAGACATCGGACATGGCCAAGAATCCAAGGAAAGGAATTTTCTCGCTTTCTCTTGCTTCTCGCCTTTCACTCGCCGCGTACGGCCAAAAATATTAGATTAGAAATTAGGATAGCCATAGGCATGGACTTGGACTTTGGCTTGGAGTGGAAATGGGCCTGGGACTGGGACTAAGACTGGGAGTGGGAGTAGCATCGGACTAGAATGCCATTCACAAGGAAAAGGGATGGTTGAACAGGAAGCCAGCTACCAACGGACTGCCAAAATTCCAAATGGTCCATGGCCGAAGAGCATAAATCATTGGAGCTGACATTTTACCATTTCCTTGGATATCTACACATACACAAAGGTTCGGCCTCGGAGAGTAAAGTTTTTCAGTGGGCTAACGAAATTTGCGTAAAATATTTGTCGATTTCTTCATGGACTTGCGAGGCAAGCCTCTTGACGAGAGAGGTCCGTGTGATCTATTAGTTTCCTACAACTAGTTCCCACCGGAAGAAATATACGACACAGTCTAGTCCAGTGCAAAAACTGAGCTTCATAAATCATTTAGCAATGAATACAAAAAAGGCAGCATTGCCTGCCAAAGCTAAAGTGGGTCATCAGATCTCATTCGGTAAGCAGTTGAATTTAAAGTACCCGAAATACTGCGATTGGGTTATTATGTTTATATGTAGATTTCAATTAATCTGCAACAATTTTACTGAACTAAATTAATTTAACTATTGAGATGCTCTTCAAAGAAAACTCAATGATCTAATCGAACAATCTACAATTGGTACTCCTTACTTTCCTCCTTAGCAAAAAACAACTAATTCAACAATATCTGAGTAAGTCAGAAAAAAGATTCCAATTAGACTTTATGTAGGACAAAAATGTAAACTGGGATAAACAAAAATCACTTTGATTTATTTTACACAGCAAAATAACCTAAAAACTTCTAACTGCAACAAGAGGCAGGAGTGGGGTCACGCCCCGATCGCTTGGTGATGGAGAGGCGAGTGAACTCTTCGGCGGTGGTGGGGTGGATCCCAACGGTATTCAGTAGAGTCTTCACAGTCAGGCCGGACTTGAGGGCCGCGGCAAAACCCTGAATGACTTCGCCGGCTACAGGACCCATGTAGTGTAGTCCCAGGATCTTTTGGTCTCCGGCGATTTCGGCAACGGCCTTCAGGTAGCAGAAGCGAACACTCTTCTGAGGTATGAAAAACTCAGTGGGTTTGTAGTAGCCGTGAAAAACCTCAATGTTGTCGGCGCCGTGCTTGTTGATGGCCATCTCCTCCGACATGCCGACGCAAGCGTACTCCACTGGAGTAAAGACTGTGGTGGCCACGTCCGCGTAGTCCATGAGCTGCGTGGATCCAGCAAAGAGCCGTCGTGCCAGGAGTCGTCCGGCCAAGATGGCCACTGGAGTAAGCTCCGGCCGCCCGTGAACGATATCGCCCACAGCAAAGATGTGCGGCACATTCGTGGCCTCAGATCGGTCTACCACAATTTTGTCGTTCTGGGTCTCAACGCCAGCCGCCTCGAGGTTGAGATCTTCTATTAAGCCTCGACGTCCGATAGCCCATAGAACAGTATCAAATACGTCGCTGCCGTCTGTTTGGGTGGTGGTGTTCCGGAACCGCACCAGCAGCCGCCCGTCCGACTGCCGCTCCACGGAACTTGGGATAGTAGTCTCTAAAAACGGGATGCCACGCTCCGACATCATGGCGGCTAGTAGCTCGGACATTTGACGGTCAAAGCCGCGGAGTACGATCGAGCGCACCATTACCGTGGGGTCGTAGCCCAGCCCTTTCAGAAAACAAGCGCATTCTAGCCCCACATAGCCAGCACCCACAACCAAGGTACGGCCCGGCTCGCGGTCATAGCTGAAGATGTCGTCGCTGGTTATACCGAACTCGGTAGCCCCGGGGATGGACGGATAACGGGGACGCCCACCCACTGCCACCACCACGTTCTTGGCGGTTACTCTGCTCTTAGCCGTGCCGGACCTGGGGAAATACTCGATGGTGTGCGCGTCGATGAACGTTCCCATGGAGTTGACGTACTCCACCTTTTTGTCGCGCAGATCCACTCTGGTCACCCAGTTTACAGACTTGATATGGTTTTGCACAGAGCGCACCAACTTACGCCAGTCCGGCCTGATATCTTTGTCGTTCACGTTCCAGCCGTAGGCCACTGCTTCGTGCACCGCCTCGCCCAGCAGTGAGGCCTGGTGCATCAGCTTTTTGGGGATGCAGCCCACGTTCACGCATGTGCCTCCCAGACCCCACTTGGTCCCTACGGGCGTGGGCTTCACATAGTCGAAGCAGAGCACACGGGCACCGCAGTCGACGGCTTCCTTGGCGCAGGCCAATCCCGCCGAGCCACCGCCGAGCACCACCAGATCGTAATCGAAGGGCGACTTGGAGCTCGCCAGTCGGCATTGGTGGAACATCGAGAAGATCGCATATCTTCGGCTGGGTCCGGATTTTCGCAGCAGCATTTCGCGTCCTCACTAAGAGATCAGTTCACAGGGTTTGGTCGAAATTAGTGACAGTCAGACTTACAGTCCAGCTGTCAGGTTGTCAGAATGAGAGAAAGTTTAAAAATGAAATGTGAGCCTCATATATTAAAACAAAACTTACGAGCGTTTATGCGTCGCCGAATTTACGAGTTAACTTTAAACCTAAAATATTATAAACCTAAAACAAAAAAAAAGAACCTTGCAGTTAAGATCGGATATATTGAATATCACAAATATAGAATATATTTTGTTCAGCTTTTATATCTTTAAAAACACGAAAGTTGGGTCATTTCCGATCTTTCAGTTGTATTGCAGCCGAAAGAAGGGGTCCGTCCGGGTAGACGGACAGGCAGACGGTTGGATGGACATGCTAATATTAACACGGGAGGTGATTCTGATCAAGAATATATATACTTTAAAGGGTCGGAGATGTCTCCTTCACTGCGTTGCACACTTTTTTATAATGATTGCTAAAGACGAGATACTCGCCTATATGGTACCCAATAAACGATTTTTCTCAAGAAAACGACTCTATAAACGATAGAAACAAACTTGTTGTGCACAGGTATTAGGAGTCTAAGTGCAATATCTTAGGTCTTAACAGTCTTCGATATCCACGTGTTGATAGAGACGGATAAGGCGTGATCGACTCCGCTGTTTATAGTAGCAACTTAATACTGATCAAAAATTCTCTTAGGTCGCTGATGATAGGTCGGACTAATACAATATTCCCTTGTACTCTACGATTGCTTGAAATAAAAAAATTTATTAATGTTAGCTTCCTGTTTTTATAAATCTTACTCCAACATTCACTTGTCTTTCCCTGACTATTCTTGCACTTCTCGTCCCTTTGTAATTTTATTTTCATTGGTGCCTTTTTGGGAGCACCACTGCCATGAAACTGTTCCACTAAAAGTTATACATTTTTTTTTTTTGAGGGCCAGTGTAGGTGAGTCAGAATCGAGATAAAGGCGATGCCTTGGGAAGAGCTCCCGCTTCAAAAGTCTTGCCCATAACTTTTCGATTAGCTTTGCCAACTCATTTAACAAATGGTCTGGTTGACAGAAAGAAAATATAACAAATTTACCGGAGAAATCGCAGCTGATGGTGGAATGTTTTTATTGCAACACCTTGGAATCATAAATTATGACCTTACCACCTTGGCACCCAGTTGCAGTTGCACCAGTGGCCGGGCTGGCAAAAGTTTTGGCCATCCGAAAGTTCTTCTGTAAGTTAAAGCACCCGCGGGTAATTCGATATAGCATAAAATTTTGCACTTAAACTATTTCATCCTCTAGCTGCATCGCGGCTCCACTCTCCGCTGGCCTGGCATTCGCAACTGCAACGTTGTTATTATTGTTCTACGGTTTTTCGGATGACCTACTTGGGGGAAAGGCGGAGAAAGTCTTGATCTGCAGGAGAGCGCCGTGGCATAAAGTTTTTTCCAATGGCACGTCTCACTGTCTGGACCAGGTCGTTGCTCACTGTGGGCGTTGGGTGACATGCTGATTTTGTGCTTTCGAGTGGAATCGCCAAACGAATGGTCTTGCTGCAGCTAGGGAGTCGGAGAAAGTCAATTTGGATGGACCGGCCCTAGCCAGGACAGCACATCACTTCGGCCACAAAGGTCCACACAAATTGTTTGCGAAATTGCGCAATCAGCGCAGGCACAAAAACAAAAGCTGCTCGACTCGACTGCCGCTTGCCCTTGGCCACTCCCCACTCGATTTTCGCCGCTCCCCGTTGTCCCTGCGGACCAAAGTAAATTAAAAATCTCATTTAAATTAATCCCCATTGAGGGCTCTTGCGACTCCACGTCCTCTCCTCGCGTCCTTTCGCAGCCGCACACATCCCTCTGCCCTCCCCTGCCACTGCGCCGCTGTCGCTCTCATCAACGCATTACAAACAATTCCACTTTAGGCACGCAGCCACACCAACTTGTGGTTGCCTGGCGGGCGGGTCGGAGAGGTGGAAGGAGGCAGCCAGCTCACACACACCTGCGCAATCAGACCCACCTTCGATAACAAGAGAGAAGCTTTTGTCTTGTTTAGCAATTTAGAATTTTTAAATCCTATTAAATTTAACAATCACTGCTTGATTTGTTTGCCAGAAGGACTGCAGGAAAGGACTCGGGCGCAGAATCGATCCTGGGCACGTTCCACATACAGCCCAAGTCAAAGGGCTTTCAATGATTCAATAGTTTAATTTCAAATTTCCATGCAAATAAACAAATATCCATTAGAGACGCATTCGAAGATGGGCAGGGCAGGAGGGTCAGAACGAGCATGGCGGGAAGGACGAGCAGGATGAACAGGAATGGCTTTCTGTTTAGTTTAGTTATTAAATGTATCCATTTCCATTTACCAAATTACGTCGCAATTGTTGAGCATCTGTCTTCCGTCTGTCAGTCCTGTTTGTCGATTCCCATTGTTGAGCCCCTTTAAGTGGTCTACCCAGATCTTACTTTACCGAGTATCTGCATTTGCCACTGCATCTGCATTTGTATCTGTTTCTGTATCTGTATCTTCGGCCCCAGTTGCAGGAATCTGTACATGTGGTACTGTTTGCGTGGGCCTGAATGCGTAATTACGGAAAAGTTGATAATGTGTTGATTATTTGAGGTATTTCTGTAATTTTCAAGTTCTTCCTGCGCTTTTGTTCCTCAAGTTTAATTGCAATTATTTAATTACATTTACAACTCTAATTTGGGTATGTGCCCATTGTGCTTTGCGGTAAGCTGTCGTAAATCATCTCACGTCAAAAGAATATCAATCGGAAATCAAAAGGCTCGAAGAAATACTTTCATCATCAATGGACACAACTATTAAAATTGAGTAGTTGTGTCGTCACATTGGTCATTGAAAAATAATCTATGAAATATTTTTAGATAGCGTAAGCTATATATAAATAATAGACGTACTAATAGACAAATACTCTTGCAGTTAAATGACTGTTTCTATCGGTGTGGGCAGCATTCCACGTGGGTCAAGAGCCGCATTCCTCCTAAGGCACTCCTAACTACTTACGTATGCGCTCGAGTAGTCTACTAATTTTAGCCGATGAGTTTAAAATTTTTGTGAATAAATAATACACCTATCGAGTATTATTATCAACAAATTGGAACTAACGGAAAAATTGAGGCAATCAGGCTAACAATTTGTCAAGATTCACACTTTACTTCTAAATACGCGTTGATAAAAGCCAAAAAGAAACACATACTCGTGCCGTGTAAGAATATTTTGTATTGTATACCTACATATATTACAGTTTTTCGTAACCAAAATCGATAAGACGTCCAGATTTTTTTTTTTGATTTGATGTAGTAGAGCTTTAATAGTAGAGGTATAATATGAACATCGTAACTTCTTTATAGGCAATAAAGGCACTCGCGATCGGTCGGTTATATGGAATCTAAAAATATAGTCGACCAATCTCTGCCCGATGTGCCAAGTCTGATGTCGATAGCTTTGAAACTGAAAGACTAGTTCATGTAAAAAAAGGCCGAGGGCTATGTTTATATCGTTTAAGTTTTTTTGAATATTTGAATAAATTCAAATACATTACCATTTGGGAAAAATCAATCTATTTATAATTGATAGATTTTACGTTTATTCGGATCGCAAAATTGTACCAAACTTTCAAGATTTCAAGATGAAGACTGCATCTTGTTGTCATCTCTAGCACAATCCCGAATTTATTTTGGTTTCTTTTTTGATCCAACGGCAAGACTCACCGGCCTCCGACAGACAAGGCAAACAGACATTGGACAACGGACAGAGAACATTGGACAAAGGACAAGAGACAGATGGGAAAGTATTTTCATTGTCTTGTTTGCCAACGTTGACAGTCGGGAGTCGCATATTTGACATTGGAGTGGTGTGCGCTCCGATAGCGTGCCAGCCAAAATATCAGAAATGGCTGGCAACTCTGGCCAACCGGCCGGCGAGCCTGCCAGGACACACGCACACACGCTGACTGCGACACATAATTGCGAATGTTTACTTTGCGCTTTTGTGTATGCGTAGAGTTGCCTTGGTTTTTCCGTAGTTTTTCCTTTTTTTGCGGCAAGCAGCGTATGTGCAACGTGTGGCAAATACAATGGAAACACTTGAGCTCCTAGGGCAGACCTATCATTTATGCACAATCGTTGCCAACTTTGCTTACAACAAATGAAAGAGTCGCGACTTTCGGCTGTCTTTCCACTTGTCTGCTCAGTTTGCTTAGTTCTTGGTTGGCAGTCTGAAAAAGATTTTCCCACAACCCCTCATGCAATGCACTATGGGTAACATGTTTTAAAATTTTAAAGCTAAACACTTTTTCTTTTTTGTGAAGAAAATTCATGTAAAGTAATGTAATATTAATATTTTTCTTACTGATAGCCTATTGAACAAATTTTTGTGGAAAATAATTGAAACTAACAGTAAAACCTGATTTTATATAATAGTGTCATAAACTATAGCAAACAAAATTTAGAGGAACAATATGTGGTTTTTTGGATCTTTGAAAGATAAACCCGAAAATTTCAGGTCTAGAATTAAGTGTGGATTAGTTAAAATTAATAGGTCCAAAGTATTTTACTTTTAGCCCACAGTGCATTGCAGTGCAATGAGTTCAACAATGTATTCACAAAGCATTCCAACAGAAAGAGATAAAAGAATTTCGCCTTTTAAGCATTTTTAAATTGAATTAAAAACTCCACCAAGCAATTTAAAGTTGCTAAAAATGGGAAGTTTAAGGATAGAAAGAAATACTTTTATGGTGAAAGTCAGTCATATGCTTTGGGGTAAAATTATAAATAAGAGTTTAACCACCATATAAGTACTAATTGTGGAATGTTTCTTTTGCAATAAATGCTATTACTGAAAATTTTTGCAAACGGTGGGCTTATATAGTCATTTGTATATTCTTAAGTGTTACCTACATAAATTAGTTAAGTTAACCTAAAGAAAACGATTAGTTAACGGAAAAAAACATAAGAAACAAAGCTCCAAACTGTCAGTTATTTAAATTCAAAATTTGTTTTACCTATTGACTTATTTGCTAAGCACGCTTTTCAAATCACATATCCAAGCTATACAAACAA